AAGCAGAGCCTAACAATATGGTCCTTCACACTTCTAATCCTCTTGTCATGCAAACATAATCCCCAAAGCTAATTTGGCCAGTTTTGGTCCAGAAAGTGTTGCAAATGTCAGGTGAAGCAGCAGAAAAATCTTTGGGTTTTTGGCAAAAATTACTGCTCTTAGTTTCATTTSGATATTCATAAAATATTTTAGCATATGATATGATAAAGTTGAGAAATTTGAATAAGATTTTTWAAAAACAGCAAAATTATCTGTTAAGCAAAAAGGCTCAGTTTAGGCATATAATTCCATTTTTACCAAAAATATTAAACAATGTATTTYTTAGAATCTTGGGCTGCAGGTACTTAAGGACCTAAGTTCAATTTGGGGCGAGGGGGACTTAACTGAAACTATTCTTCATTTTTAATTGGTAATTTCCCCCATTTTCCAAATTTACCCAACCTCCCTTTCCCTCTCTGCTGAAGGGAATAATGAATAAGCTTCTTATTCCTCAAAATTCTCCTACTCCCTTGACTCAAAGCTTTCTGGAGGACAATTTGATAAGTCAACATTGCCAAACAAATTCGCTCCTGTCCTCCAATATTCATAACACCATTTCTTCAGCCCTATTCTGGTATCAAAGTCTTGCTTTTTTCCTGCGGTCCCTAGAATGTAAAGAACAGCAATCAGCACTAATAAGTAGTGGCATCATTACAGARCAAGGGATTGACTCAGGAACTTGAGTTTGGGCTATTTAACTTCATTCCTTTTCTGTTACCCTAGCTAACTGAGAATGCACATATGTATTTWWWWAAAAAAACTACKATATGATTACTCTTTGACTATGAWTGACAAATCTAGAGGGGAAAAAAAAYCARAAAAGTTGATTGMTTGCTGGAATAACAAATTCCAAACAATAAGGGATTGCATAAATAAATTGGCATAGACATGGAAAACATTGTAGTCATTAAAAAGAATTTTGCAAAGAGTTATTTATTGAAATAGAAAAATCTTTACAATGTGAAGAAACAGRCTACAAAATAGTACACATAATATATAATTTTTATGAAGAAAATATACTTAATATGCATGAAAAATTGCCTTTAGGACATACATAAAAATACTTTTATCTGTGAACTGTGGAAGATGCTTTATTTTCTTTGCACTTTTTGGTGTTTTCCCAACATTCTGAATCAAGCTTGTATCAATTTTGTAAAGAGGAAAAAACGCACAAGAGATGCTGATTTAAGGAGAGAAAGGAAAAGGAAAGCAGCCAGAACCCTGGGGAAAACCTACATGTTTGAAAGAGAAGAGGAGCCAACATCTTAGACTTKTTCTTTTTCAAAACCAATTTTGTTCCTTGCYAGCTTCTTGCTCTTAGATCTATTTTAGCTTCTTAGATACCTATCAATATTATACTATTTAACTTAGCCTTATGTATCAAGGTTAAARTAAGTGAAAACAACATAAAACTGTTTTGTGAAATAAAACATACCCCGAATTAGCATTTCTCATAGTTTTAATGGCCCCATGAACAAAACCTGGCTATACTCGCGAAAAGACTTTTTGATATCTGTATTGGAAATGTAATCCTCAAATCCCTATAGTGATAGTATTTAAATGAGGGGCCTCTGGGGTTCAAGTAGGGTTACATGAGATCAYGAGGGTGGGGTTCCAATGACAGGATTATCAATAAATGGGATGGATTCAAACTACAAAGCTTCTTCTTAGCAAAAGAAAACAAACATGTGAAGAGAGAGCCTACAGRCTGGGAGAAAATCTTTACATATATATCTCAGATAAAGCATTAATCTCAAGGATATATAAAGAACTCAAAAAACTTAACACCAAAAATAATAATAATAATAACCCAATCAATAAATGGGCTAAGAAACTGAACAGATACTTCACAGAATACAATCAATCAACAAAAATATGAAAAAATGTTCAACATCTCTAGCAATTAGAGAAATGCAAATCAAAACTACTCTTTAAGATTTCATCTTACTGCAGTCATAATGGCAATTATCAAGAATCCAAGCAACAATAATGTTTGTGAAGGGGAAAA